GTCGTGCCGACTCTTTCACGGATAGTAGCGTTATATTCCGTAACGTTACTGAATCTGCGGCCGCTCTCCCAAGGGAACGCATCTTGGATGACATCAAGTGGCTGAAACTGTGTGTCAGCAAGCTGCTTCCACCTGGCTTCCCTGGTGTCACTGTCAGAAAGCTGACCAGATTGGGGAACGTCCCTATCGCTACGCCAAATCCACGACCCCGACTACTTCGCGTAGTCCTTTCTACCCCGGAGGAACGCAAATCATTACTGCGGTTTGCGTTCAAACTTAAGGGTAGTGGTGTCAGCGTTCAGCCGGACCTACCACTGGCAGATAGACTGAAGTTAAAGGAGGCTATCAAAGACCTCAAAACTAGACGGGCGGCTGGTGAGCAAGGCCTCCGTCTGGTGGGTTTTCAGGTGGTCAGCCGGAAGTTACTTTCCGCCCTATCAGAACCCATCCTGATGGCGCACGACCCAGGGATGGTCGTGCCGACTTCCTTGAGGTAGTACTTAGCAACGTGCGTAGCCTAAGGAACAAGGTGCACGAGTTGGGTCTACTTGTAGACAAATCTCGTCCCGACATACTTGCTTTCACTGAAACGTGGTTGTCTCCGGATATCACGGACGGTGAGGTATATTTACCTGGCTACGCGCTGCTTAGAACTGATCGCTCCGTTGGTCGCCAAGGCGGAGGCGTTGTACTGTATGTGAGCTGTAACTTAGATGTGTTGAGGACCTGCACATTCCAGTCGTCGGATCAGACTGTTGAAGCCCTATCGGCTGTTTTGTGCACTTCCTCTACCCAGTTTACAGTTATAGTGATATACAGAAGTCCTGGAAGTTCTTCCAGGGGGATACTTGACTTTATTCGCACTCAGTCTGCGAATAAGTGTTTAGTTCTAGGGGATTTCAACCTCCCGGAAGTCTGTTGGGCCGATCTTTCTTGCAATTCGGCATTAGGAACATTCGGTGCAGACTTCCTTGAACTGACTCTCCAAGTGCCTTTGCACCAGTTCGTTGACTTTCCCACTAGGTATATGGACAACCAAATACCATCTACTTTGGATTTGGTTTTCGCTAAGTCCCTGGACTTCGTGACTGACGTTTCACACGGTGCACCTCTAGGGTCCAGCGATCACGCATGCATATCCTTTCGATGTGCTCTTTCAAGGCACCAAGAGACCGCTGTTGAATTACTTCCGAATATTTGGCGGGCGGACTTTAGTGCAATGCGAACTAAGGCTTCAGTTCTGAACTGTGAGATCTCGATGGCTGACTCTGTCCAGTTAGCCTGGGATAAATTTAAGGCATACCTTACGGAGGTTTCCACTCCCTATATTCCACTCATTAGGAAAAGAGGGTTAAGGGCACAGCCTCCATGGATAGATACCACAGGCAAGTACCTACTCAAGAAACGGTCTAGATGCTGGCGAACCTACCAAGCAGCTCCATCAGCCAGCACCTATGATAGTTATCGAGAGATTAGAAATAAATGTAAGCAACATCTCAGAACTGCTCGTCTCCAATACGAGCAGGGTTTAGCGGACTCGGCCGCAGCTAATCCCAAGAAGTTTTTTGCTTACGTTAAAAGACGCAGCGGGGCAAAACTGTCTATACCAGCTTTATTGCGAGCAGACGGGACCCGTGCGCAAACTGACTATGACAAGGCTTGTATACTGAGTGATCAGTATACTGGGGTCTTTGCTCGGGAGACCTCTTTACCACAGGTTGAATTGGTTTCAAGAGTTCCAGAGGATTCTTGCTTAGCTGAATTTAGCATAACGGAGACTCAGGTCTTCGAGCTACTGCAAGGCATTAATCCCTCTAAAGCTTCCGGTCCTGATTCAATTCATCCGAAGCTGTTGCATGAATTGGCCACTGAGCTGAGTGGTCCGCTCACATGCGTGTTTTCAATATCGCTGGATAGCTGCAGCCTACCTTCGGAATGGAAGGAGGCAATCATCTGTCCGATTTTTAAGGGCGGTGACAGCGCTCTACCCGCGAACTACCGGCCTGTCAGTTTGACAAGCGTAGTAGTCAAGTTGTTTGAAAGCTGATAAGGGATTCAGTGGAGAACCACCTGAATAGATTCAACCTTCTCAGTGATGCGCAACATGGATTCCGCAAGGGATTTTCATGTCAGACTAATCTACTTGTAGCTCGTGAAAGCTGGGCCGAAGCGGTAGACAGTGGCCACGCTGTAGACGTGCTATTCGTAGATTTTTCGAAAGCTTTTGACACTGTTCCACATCTTCGGCTCTCACTAAAGTTGAGATCTTACGGGATATCTGGTCGCGCCCTTCAATGGGTGTCTGCCTTCCTTGAGGGGAGGGAACAGTGCGTACGGGTGGGGCGTAGCCTTTCGCTCAGGCAAGCTGTCCTTAGTGGCGTTCCGCAGGGCTCGGTATTGGGGCCATTGTTGTTCGCGATCTACGTAAATGACTTGCCGGGAGAGCTAGGGGTGTCATCACTAATGTTTGCTGACGACCTTAAGCTCTGGAATATTGTGGATATCCCGGGGGGTCCTGAGGCAATTCAGCGTGCCTTGGATAGGCTCTGGGAATGGTCTACCTTATGGTTGATGCCCATAAATAGGGCCAAATGCTCTGTTCTCCGAATCGGAGGTGCAAATCCTCCCACCCGATACGTTGTCGGCGGTGGTGAACCCCCTGTTGTCACTCAGTAAGTTGATTTAGGAGTCGTACACGCATTAGCACTTCATACTGGAGACAACTGGAAGAAGGCTACTTGTCTAGGGTTTCGAAGGATGTGGTTTATCCGCCGCTTTTCGGAATCTTACAATGGCCAATTTGTATGTGAAGCTACTTTCGGCATTCCTCCGACCCCACCTGGAATATTTTACGCAGGCTTGTCCACCATGTCTTAACCGAGACAAAATGGACTTTGAGAGGGTGTTACGAGTGGGCACTCGGTTAGTGCAGGGTCTACGGGGACAGACGTATCCTGAACGCTTGCTCAGTTTGGGGATGTACTCCGTGCACTACCGAAGGATAAGAGGAGACCTGATGACAGTGTCAGAAAACCAACTGAAGGCAGTGGATGCTGCCATTTCTCGCAGTTGGCCAACATTCTGTGCGGATCACTGTCTTCATCTGAACCAGCAGTCGTGGTAACGAATAGCCACCTTATGCTTTGCTGTAGAGTAGAACACAGGACATTGCTTAATTGTTGAAGCATCAGAGCTGCGTAATTGCGCCCTATTACACACAGAGAGCAGCTTCACATTGTTGACAAATACTAGATCAAGTGTCGCATTGGATCTAGTGGGACAATTTACGGTGTTTTGTGGCATAAGACTTGGTAGAAGAACTCAGTCAAATCGGTTGAAATCACCAGCAAAAATACATAGTGAACAATCGATTTGTTCTTTTACAGCCGCAGTAAACTCGTCATAAAATGCCTCTGCTTCAGGTTTCGAACAAGTGGGAGAAATATAGATGTTTGCCGCTAAGATTTAGCGGTACCCACTTATACATCTCAACTTGTACCTCTGAACTAAGCAACTCATACTTTGAGAAGAGGAGCAAAACAAAACTTTCGTGGATACGCACCAAGAATTGTTGCTGTAAATAATGTCTCCACTGCCACGGTTAAGGGAGGTGCAAATGCGGTCGTTTCGATGACAATTGAACCCTTCTACCGATAGAAGTGCGTTGTCCATCTCTTGTAGCCAGGTCTCATGTATCAAAATGTGGCCTAGTTGCGAATATTCTCTTGAGTTCATTGTGCTTTTTCGTTCATCCATACTCCTTAAATGCGAACGGATGTTTGAGGTAAGTAAGATAGATATGCTCACGATTCCTAGTTTTTCTTCCAAAGAACAACCTTCCATCCAGAGCGGTGTTTCCTTGCACAATTATTGTGCTTCTTGTAAATTCATTTCAATTTACTGCTTACACGTGGGTTCTGAACCACAACGATTTCAATATATCGCGCGTATAGGTCAACATGAAAACAATTGTAGCCGGATAAAAAGTGATGAAAAATTGTTGGTATGAACTCGAAAGTGTGTGTTAAAAATTCCACAGAAAGCAATCGTAGAGCACCGCCAAATTTGAATCCTCCGCCGAGGCAGGTTTATGCTGTATGTTCGAACTGTAGGAGTTCCTTATTATTAGGGAACCTTTGAAGCTGTCAGGTGAATATTAAACAAGGAGAAAACAAGTGTGGTTTTTGAAAAGGGATTAACACTCTTTTCACCGCTAGTGCGTTTGAATGATCCGCTTCGAGAGATAGGACGACCAAAAGAGTCTACATCCACGCCATGTGGACGTAAACTCACGGTCCTCGTACTTAAATCCGATTCACCGTCACAATTCTGACCACACATACGTGTGCATTCCATCTTCCGGATCTAGATTGTGTGGGCAACTGCAGTGAGTAAAACAAATAGAAGGTTGGTAGCTATAAATGCCACTAAACGGCCATGTTACAAATGATTGTAAAAACAAAAGTTTCTGCTTCATTGCATTATCGACCAGTAAGTAGTTCACATAAGATTGGGCTACAGTTTTGTAGATTTTACAAGCGAATGAGTTTCCTTTATTCAATTTAATCCAATCTTGAGCATAAACTGGTCGTCAGCTCATTTTGTCCGAGTTTTAAATCACATAGAGCAGCTAAAGAGCGCCTTAGTTCGTAGTAAGAACCTAAATGGCCAAACCCCGAACTGCTTTCAGTTCGGGTTGTATGTGAACTAAAAATGCTCGCAGCATGCCTACTGCAAAGAATATATTGCCTCAATAACAGATGCCTTTTGAATGGGGTACATTTCATCCCCAGCCAGCGTTCTAGACACGAGAGTTACTCTTTTGGGTGTGCATGGTGGCAACAGTAAGGAAAGGTTTATGCAAAAAAACACGTGTTTCACTTTCGGGATTTTGTTGCACCTAGAACACATTTGTTATCTGCACCGTCACAAAAATCGTTTCTGTAACGCCGTCTTTTCGATATATGCCAACTGTGTATAGTCGGTTTTGTTCAATTTAGTTGGGCGTAATCTGTCTGTCGAAATGGATGAAAAAGCATTCCTTCTGGAAAAACGCACACCGCTACGGCGAAAAATCATCATCAATAAACCATCTAGAAATTACCTACTACCAAAAGTGGATGATCACTCAGAGGTCATTTTGGAGACAAGGAAATTAAAATATGGGGTGCGTAATATTTTTCCTCTAGTATCTTTCGTGCGCGTTTTGGCTTCCTAGTATCTCCTTAATTGTCTTTTGTAACTGCTTCAATATCTGCAAACATGGTTACCGGCGACAGTGTTATACGCATTTAGTTAATTATTATTCAATTTCAAAATTTGGAAAACAAGGATATAGACTAGCTGCTCACCTGTCGGATGCTTTCAGCTGAGTGTACTGCAACACGCACAGCTATTTTATGTAACGAAAAGTAAAATACATCCATTAAGTTTGTGGTCTGAGTGTTCGCAGAGCTTGCAGTTTGGCTGCAAACATTTCGTCACCACTCGAGGTGACATCGTCAGTGCGTGTGTTTGTAGCGGAACAGCGCGGTTCGAAGCCTCAGTGGGTGTGAGTGATCGATCTTCTAGGCGGGCGAGTCGTCAGTCTGAGTTTGGGTCGTTCTGTAGTGGGCTGGAGATTCTCCCGTATGACTATGTATGTTATTGTAAATATTGTAAATTGTGGTTTCCTTATGTATTAGGGAATTAGGTGGTCTGTCTGTCGGAACCTTGTTCCCGTTTGTTTGAAACACAAATACGACATCCGTCCTTGAACGCTACGAATATTCGGGAAGTGCACTGGTTCGGCCCGCGACCCAACGCCGATCCACACACTCAACGCGCGGCTACATCTTTTCTCTGGTGCCCTATTTTTAGCATTAGCTAGCTTTCCCTTACGTTCCATAAACTTTTTCCCTAGCTTGCGAGCGTGTTCTACCGATTGCTTTGGCTATAGTTCGACGGGCACATGACCATCAAAATTGATCTCTTAGCGTAGACATGCGTGTCTCCGCGGTTGAGGTCGTTTGATGTAGTTGTCCGGCGTTCTGTTCTGTTAGATTTAGTTAACTTAGTCCGTGATCTCTCATCCGTCGTGCTGCATATATAGCATCTAGTTCAACGCTTCGGTTGATTGAATTGTCTCTAGAATATTATGCTTCCAAGAATTCTCTAGCTTACTTCGAATTTCCACGGGCTAGAATCTTTACGTTCTCTAGGTCGAAGTGGTGGCCTTCTTGGTCTTCATGCATGGAAACCAGTGAGTGTGGGTCATGTCTCTGTATGGTCATTTTGTGTTCGTTGAACCGTGCTGAAAGTTCCCTTCCGGTTTGTCCGATGTGGTGTTTGTCACCATTCTTTGCAGTTTATTTCGTATATGACATCATTCTGACTGTCCTGTTTGACTTTTTCTTTCGAAATTAAAACGGAACCGGATCCTCGGCCTAATTAGTCGATCAGAAAGAATTTACTCTGGCGTTTGCCGAAGAGCTGAAGCGCATAGGTTCGACGCTGATAGAAAATTTTTACCCTGACAGTTTCCTGAAAGCGAACATGGAGCAAAGGAAGAACACCCCCGTAAACCTTATAGTCCAACCACCATACAAGGGGGAAATCGCTGCTGAAATCATAACTCGTCGCCTTTCTCATGCTTTCGGACACACTACCGCAGCAGCTAAAATGCAAATCCAGTTCGCCGGTAGCCCAATAATTAGAACTAGCTCTAAAGACAAGAGGCTCATCCACGCCAAATCAATGTGTATTTTGTCGTCCTCCTGTTCTTGTAAGGCAGGTTATATTGGCCGAACGACGAGGCGCCTGTCGGACAGGGTGAACGAACACCATCCGGCCTGGTTCATGACTGCTTGTCGAAAACCAACCAACTCATCCATAGCCGGACAAATAGGTCAAATGATGACGTCAACCGCAGAGACACGCGTACCTACGCTACGAGGCATAAATCAGAGATCAATTTTAATGGTCATGTGCCCGTCGAACGTCCCAAACTCAGACTGACGGCTCGTCCACCTAGAAGATCGATCACTCACACTCACACCTACTGACGATCTCACCTCGAGTGGTGCCGAAATGTTTGCAGTCGAACTGCAAACTCTGCGAACACTCAGACAACCAACTGAACAACCTGAGCTACTAATATTTGCTTCTATATCGTAACCATCCATTATCCTAGACTGCTGTATGACTGCAACAGTTTTACCATTACTTACATTTTGACATGTTAACGAAGCACATAAGTAAAGTGTTGTGCAATCTGAAAGCCACAGTTCCAGCTGCTAGTAGTGGTATTGAGATTACCATATAAGAGCAAACGTACGGCACTTATTTACTGTTACTTTTCGCTCATGTTAAAAAGCTACAACCATACCAGTTACCTCCTGGTTTTGTTGGCTTCTCAAGGCAGTAAAGGACTAGCAGTTAATGTCCCGAGACGGGGCGCGTAAGCGGGTGCGGATACCAGAAAGCAGGAAGACTGCATTCATGTTGAGCTACAAACGAATGCATCGAGTGGGGGCGGACGTCAACGTCGTGACTCACCAAGCGGAAACGTTTTGAGCCAGATGTAGGCAGACGTGCCCCCTAGGGTTAGGGACTTTAATACAAGAACGAGTAGTATAAAACTGACCATAAATTAACTGTTGCATAAAACATAAGAATCATCCCCTCGGGTGCCACAGCAGTCGTTAACCAGATAGATAAGTATAGGCAACTACTAGGTAATAAAGATGTAATTCCTTTTATTCCTGTACATTCTCCGTAACTGCTGCTAGCCTTATGCGCGTGAAGTTGGGCAGCTTATTTGCCTACGTTTAGCTCCGTACTTCTTGTCTTATTACTGAACAAGTTTTGCCATTGTACACGGTTTTCTTAGGTTACGATATTGTTTTGTTAAACGAGCTTACTGAGTAACCGTGAAGTTGGTGATTTGTGAATTACTCCATTATTGCGCATTTGTGTCAAACAGTAAACGCCTTATGAGTTACACATTTGAAGAAATCGCCAACTCCTTTTTTATTTTAGGCTAACTATAGGACAAACCCACGGTATCGAAAAACACTGGGGTTGCAGGGATGCAAGGCAATATTTGAGTCAGAACCGTGTAACGTTTCCTTCGGCTTTTATGAAATTGGAAGAGTCTATGAGGTGACCATTTACATTTATTTAGGAATACAGAATGAAGCTATATTGTACTTAATAGAAAACCATATCTTCCACCAATAATATACCACCACGTGTTTTGCAATACAAACTTTGACTCGATTATTGCAACTAACCCAGGTTTCCTATGTCTAGTCGGCTGAGATTTGTTAACTCCTGAACAATTAGCTCTTGCCTCATACCGTGCTGGGGTAATGTACATTAGACGGTAATATCGAAACATATTCCAAACTCTAGTAATCAGGCAGGCATTAGAAAAATCACCATAGTAGTGCATATGGAAACAACCTAGCTCCATCAATTGAAGTAACAATTAACTAGCTGCACGCCAATAAGTAGTACGGTAGCATTCGACATCAACAAGAAATAGCCACCATTTCATTTTCACCCATTAACCGGGACCCTGAGAATTATGCACAAACCTACTGTAAGCGGATGGTTTTGAGGTAATGTTTATGCTAAGCACTTGTTTACAATCCATACAATGGGAACGAAACCACACGCGCCTCTAAGTGGATCATGTCAATTCAAGCATTTCCTTTATGTACTCTGGGTAGGTGAATATGCAACTACAACTGAGGTCTCACGTCGTGAGATTGCAATTTGCTTGGCCCGAACTTTTGCCCCATGAATTCATATGTTATAAAATCTACCACAGTTACTCATTAATTAACCCTTATTTCCCAACAACTTTTCAGGTAAAAATCAAGATAAGAAATGTTTCACAAATATCGCGACCTTTGCGATTTCTCCCCCCAAGGACTAAATATTTCTCTGTGTCCAATTGTGAGTCATCACATCATATATGCATATTGGCTGTATGAGACCGTAATCATTATAAACATGTAAGCTAAAATGGAACTAGTTGGGTAGGTAAATCGCATAGGGTTTCCTTCCTTCAGTGGTTTGCTGAATCACGTACAGACGACATGCTGCGAAGTCTTTAGGTGCCCAGTAAGATGCGCTCAAATTACACTCCGCTCAACCAATACTTATTTACACCACACCAGACTTCCCGGCGTGTCTGTCACGTGAGATGCGAAGGAACAACTGGGGGATGAAGAAAGAGGAAAAGGTTTTTCTGCATCAGTTTCACTCTCGAAGCATGAGGGAAATTTTTGGAAAGTTCAAATTGAACTTACTGATCATCTAATAGACAGCGAAGGTTGTAGTTTGGAGGGTCATTTTGTGATACACGTTGAGTGATTGGATTGCAACGAGCAATCTAAATGTAGACCGTGATTCGCATCGAAGTGAGCCTTGGTCAAATCGATCACTAGGACCGTAGCTGAAGCACAAGGAAATTGGGTGTTGCCCGCCCGGGCGGTCGGACGGGCAACTTTCTGTGCACATGAACAGAGAGCCGGTGATCCTATATCCACTAACTTTTTGGAGCATAAATGGTCGGTTGACTCTGTCGAATACTTTAGGTAAGTCTAAATAGATTATATCTAAAAGGACTCCTTCATCATCCGTCCTTGTCCATTAATCACAAACCAAAAGTAGATAAGCGAGACAAGATCTACTGCATTAGAAACCATGTTGCAAATGGGAAATCATTCGCAGGCTTTCCAACTACCTCGTCGTTTAATGTCATCATTAACTCCATCAATTTCGATATAACAGAGATTAGTAATTGGTCGACGTTTCGCAAGATCCGATCGCTTACCTCCTTTGTATGTCGGAGTGATGGTTACATTTGCTCACTCAGATGGAAGTGTTTGGGGTTCAACTGGACACTGCAGATAGGCTACAAGATATACTGCTAAGTTGAGAGCTAGGAATTTGAGAAACCTTGGACAAACCTTGTTGATCGTATGGGCACGGTTTTCTAGTAAGGCCTGCAGCTTTATTGTGGTAGCTGCCGGGGTAAAGGCTGCGCTACACAAATCACTAATATTTACTAGGAACGATAAAGAGAAGTGTCCATGGTTTTCGTAGTCACGGAGCCAAACGCTTGGAGTAGGAACTTCGCAGTCCACAGCAGTAATCCTAAGGCCACTGTTCGCATTAACTGATGGCATTTTTAACTAAATCTTTCTGGTGTCATTCATATAGTTGTAGGGTCGTTTGGTACTATTTGTAAACTTGGATGCCTTGGGTTTCTGCCATTCATATTTGTGCAGTAGTTTCTGGCGGATTTGTACTTCTTCTATGTAATGTCGCATGGATTTTGCGCATGTTGCCCACTGATTTCATCTGTTCTGTTAATCCATTTACACGTCTTCTTTGGATCCAGATGTTATTCCGGTGCGGCGCTCGTCTTGGCACAGTTTTTGTGACTACTTAGATGACTTGTAGAGTTTACCATCTAGTTTTATTCATTCAATTTTATTTTTATTCGTTGGATCAGGTTTTAAGCAAGTGATTCCAGTCAACGATTTTCTCTAGGTTTTAAAGCTTATAGTCGCCAGTAGTTCGTCGAGTTTCTCCTCCTTTTTCAACAGTGCTGGCAAAACTCACACACAGGACTGAGTGATCTTTACTTAGTGAAAAGTGGCATGAAATTGACTCAACCATCAACATTTCATTAGTCAGGATTTAGTCCAGTAGTAATGGCTTGTTTGATCCGCTGTTTGTTTGGCCGATCAACATGGTTGAACAAAACTGCAATGTCCAAGAATACAAGAAGTTTTGGTATGAAGTATGGCCCACTGGGGGACGCTGATACAATCGACTGTGCACTGCAAACGCCCATGATAATGTAGTGCTAGTACATTTGGAAGCAACATGGTAAAGAGTGTTTAAGAGAATGCCATTGCTGTCCGCGGATGGATTTGTAAGCCTATCTACAACTGCTATAATGCGAGCATCCCACGTCTTCTTCCAAAATCAAGCCTATCGGCCTGATAGTTTCGGCTTGCAAAATAACAAGAGAATGTTCTGTAAGATATTCTCGGTAGGAGACGGCAGCACGACCACCGCGAGTTGGATGCTCAATCAGATAATAACTATTCCGTGAGTTCAATTTTTGCATCTAGTATATTGTTTGACAATCACGTTTAAGCCACTGCTATGATGTCCCAAGTTGTTGTTTCATGACATTGGCGCAGTTATGACCGTTTAGAGTAGAGACAGCATTGTATTTGTTGACGCGGTGGGAACTCAATTCACTGTGCTACACCGGCACTGTTAGCGCTAGTCTGCTTACACCTTTTGATGAGGGTGTTTCCGAGGTTGTTTGATTTGAGATCGGGATCACAAAGTCTGGCTCCTCTGCACTAGGGGCCTGTACTGTTTGAAGGAATGGTCCCACTCGGGTGTACGATGGCCCCAATCATTTGCTGTCATCTCATGATTGCCGCACCAAGGACACTGTAGCGACGATAAGTAGCATAGGCTAAATAAGTTGAACGAGACGGAGACGGAAAACGATAGACTAGGAAACCTAAACTTTACGTACTGTCTAAGCAGCAGAAATTTCTCTTACCATGTTACGAGTGTGTTTACAATTGTCATGAAAACGGCAGACACAGGAAGACGTGCGACAATGTGCAGAGGCGTTATATCCTACCAACTCGCCAATCAGCCGTTAAAAGTGAAATGCCTCGATCTTGATGAGTCAAGGGTGTGTTAATGGCGCGAAACAACAAAGTTACATGTTTGCTACTGCAGTTATTCGGAGTACACACTTGTATTATTCAGTATGCGTATAGTGGAGGCGTTTGAAAATATGAATAGTAAATTCACAAATAGCTATAAATTTTGGGAAGAAAGCCGTATAAAGTCACAACTTGTATATAATAGGCTTATGTGATGTACCTACATTCTTCCATATTATATTTTTACTGTTCTCGTTTATCTTTATGCCTCAATTCTGATACACCCTTGTACTGGCGCTACTTTGTTGGCTGCATTTCGGCGTGACGCAACCAGATTAGATTTTCGCTTGTCTTTCTGTCCATGGATTCTCTGGAAGAATACGAACACTGATGGATGATTTATGAAGTAGTTAGTTCCCTTCAACTGGTTGAAAAGTGCGGAAAGAAGACAAAGGCTGGCAGATGCATGCATTTCGTATTGTCTTCTCAGTACCATTAACATTAACGCTGCGTAGATATAGCTAACAGTGAGTGAAACAAGACAAGCTTGAGGTGCAGAACGGATGACCGAAGTTCTCCCCTACGTCCAGGGCAGTTTTGGGCTGACAGATAATTGTTTCTGAGGGCACACGGCTGGCTTCATCCGGCTTACAGCGACAGCCTCAGCAAACCGAAAGAAGCGGGGAATAGCGTGACGCGACACAACTTTTTAAGCTGAGTCTAGCCCTATCCGGTGACCAGAGACTAATAGGTATTTGCCTATCCAGGAAGCCGACGGTCTACGCGAGCACGGAATTTGACGGGAGTAGGAAATCTGGGCAACCTCACGCTGAACCCATCTCGACACAAGCTCCTTTATTCAGGAAGTCAGTCCTATCAGTTCTGCCTATGTACTTGTTGCCTCAGTCACACACAGATTGTTATACACAATGTAAGAACCCCAATAAGCTGAGCTTCCTTCGTTGGAGGTATGAGCAAATTTCGGGCTCGATTGATAACGACAACTTATGCGGCATAGTAACTTCCTTGCCTAGACGAAATTATACACTGAGTTGTCCTTAGCATGGCTAAATCACCTTTGTAAGGCAACTCGATCTGCACCTTCTTGGCTGCCGTGTGCACTAAGTCCTTTAGCCTTCACATTTGCCTGTGTTTCGATAAATCTTCCAGAGTAGCCGTTCGCTACTAGTGCTGTCGTAATAAACACTAGATCATCGTCTGGGCAATCGGCCAAACAAATTCGTCTGGCACGATTAACTCGAGTCTTCACAAGGACAATTTTGACGCTTACAACGGTAATCAGCTTTTTTACTTTCTCAACATTGCAGTTAAATTGACCCACCTCTGCGTAAGGGTTTGAGTAATCTTGACTACAGGACCATACACGTTTACATCACAAAACCACAAAATATTTGTGGCTTTCCGTCACTCCGTAGATTTCTGTCAAGCCCTTGAATGCGCTTGGTACAGAGTAAACATGCGATTCTCCTAAGTACCCCTGTTACCTGCTTGGCTGAACTAAAGCTATTGATCAGTGCTTTTGTGGTCTCGTTCACATGCCGCGTCACCCCATGCCTCAATGGTTGGCGTACACTTTTACGGGTACTGTAATACGCACTGGTCCAGAAGCGATGAAGCTGATCGCCTTACCAAAGAATTACGTGAAAATCGGTTTTGGTGACGCAGTAGAGAAACAGTCGGCCAGTGGCCGAGTGGTCTGCACGCCTTGCTTGCAAGCATAAGGTCACCGGTTCGAATCCGCGTAGGGGTGGGCGTCTTCGCGGTATACTCGGCCCGCGCGCGACTGGTGGTGGTCGCGTGGCAGCGAAGCGCCGTTACGGCATACAGCTGACACCTCATTTATTGTTATTGTTAGTAGAGAGACACGGCTGTCTAACACACTAGTAGGAACCCAGACAGAACGCAGTGTGAGGCGGCCAACGTGTATTATGGAAAATATTGATCGCAGTCGTTGAAAGCAATCGAGGTTTTAGTACATCAGAGGACTGAACGGTACGTCGCGAAGTTAAACAGCTAATAATGCGTTTTCGTTGGTTGTCATCCCAAAATCTGTATGCCCCATGCTGAGGCTGATGTTGCATTCATGGTGCTTCTTCACCGCAGTTGGGGTAAACCAACTTAAACTAGGTCTTTTTAAGTTGGATAAATTTCATTCCACTTTATTCGGTTTGTTCTGCCTACCTGAATAATCCATCAACTGGTCACCTTTCTTAAGCTAATTGTGGTTATCTTCGTTAACTTTCTTGTGTTTGTGGTATTTTTGAGTAACTTGTGGGCATTTTTTTACTTATCGCTGATTCGTTGCTAATCAACTTACTTCATGTGCTAATTTAGAGAAGAGTTATGTCTGCATAGCCGTATACTTTAACAGATCTATTTTATTTGAGGTCATTTCAGGTGATTGGCTGTTGTTTGACATCCCCGGTGTGGCTGCGCTTGATGTGCATGTTGACGAGGTACCTATCTGTCTATTACCCACTACCTCATCCATACTGGTTCTAGGAAACAGTTGGTCGTTGCTGAAGGTGACGGGGTGCACGGTCCTTGTGGTCGTGCTAGGCTCGAAGAGTAGTTCCATGCACTCAGTGTGGAGCGGACTACGGTCCAGCCACCGCCTTGGGAGTGTGCGCCGGCTCCGTTGATGAAACGTGGCTCCCATCCGCATGCCTCCCGATCTTATTTCTTCAGGTTTACACTGGATATGGGGTGTGTGGATGGAGTTGTGGGTAATGCAGCGCAAGCCACCCATGGTCCCTCTGTAGGTGTAGGCGTCCTGTGGCTGGTCACAGTGACAGGCAAATTCGAAACCGGATGCCGCCAACCATCCCCAAAACTGTTAAAACTTAATAATGGGAAGTGGCCCACGTAAACGATAGCCGCTTGCGGGATACCCCGGGGGATGCATTTCATTACCTTAATATGTGTTTTGTTTGTGGTGAGAGTCCGCGGTACTGAGCCAACCATAGTTGTTTGTACAGCTGGCGACTACATGCGTTCGGGCTGCAGCGTTCACGTGGGTCTCGGGGTCACTGACATATCACCTGACGTCTGGGTGGGGGGCAGCAAGGTCATACGTCCGAAATTTCACGCGATACCGATTGATATTGTGTGTTTGTCCCTTCTACTGCTCGGCATGCGCTCCGGTCGATCAAGAATTAGTCAAAATTCAGCGGGGGGAATTTCATTGGTGAAAATTGCAGCAGCTATAGATGGAGTGGCGTAACTGATGACTACAAAATGTCAGCTTCCAAATGGCATCTCAGATTGTTCTACTGCGGTGCTTGTTGAGTAATACTAAGTGCATTTTCTCAAATGTGAAGCTGTACGTTAAGGTATCCAAACCATGTGGTAGTTACACGTGTGTGTTTTGGCAAGATATCTGCGAGAACAGCAGTCGCAGATGGAAAATTGATGTAGTGAGGACAAACGTGTATGTAGAAGTCCTTGTGCGCCGAGAATAGTAACAAATCCAGTAAAAGCAGTGGTGTTCAAATGATGCGACCGCTAATGATGTGATGCACAATCGCACACCTTTTCAAATCCATGGTAAATGAATCTAATATCAATTTTCTATACAGCAGTAGAACCGCGAGTTGAATAGTGGAGACGCATGCTGCAATCGACAGACCTGCGACAATTTTGTTTGGCGACTAAAATTTGTAATCCCTGTATTACATTATTTGACGGCTCACGTAAAGCGCAGCGCATCCGCTTTGAGAACTATGACAGTGACCAAGTCTGCACATCATGTTTATCAGGTATACTTCACCTCCTGTTATATCTGCTGACAACCACTGCGTAGTGAAACTGAATATATTAGTGCGAGCATTAAGATAAGATTCTTCCGGTGCACCCGATTCCTTACTCTACGCGTATCTCTAGGCATTAGCTGAAGGGATTCGGTAGAACCGGCTTAAGATATACGTTGTCAGAGGATGTCCTAGTTATGCGGAAATTGGTCACCGACAAGCCACTTGAAAACCCACCATTCCGGGTCCTTGCTTACCGGCCGCAAGTCGATTTCCGAACTCCCTGGGTGGAACAACATAGCACTGTCATAATATCCATTAGCATCCGATGTGTCGATACATTTGAATCCGCTTTATTTTGTTACATAACGGTATTGAATTATGAACGGATGTTAGGAATTATGGACAGACCCTATTATCTTGGGCTAGTTACTGCGTTCTGTAAGTGTCTATAAGCGCCACTGAGATGATGATATGAAACCGACTTGAATCGGGCCTAACTATTTAACAGCGTACCACTGTAATTAAAACGATGGCCTTCTGGCATTTGTGAACTATTCGGAATACACCGACGAAACACTGAGCCACTTATCCGATCTAATATCTGTTCCCTTGACTTGCAAATGGTAGAGTACAAAATAAATATATATTGAAATTAAAGGGGACCAAGTTTTGCACTGTGGCATAGTAATTTTAGTTACGAAGACAACTCTATCAAAGTATTTGTAGAACACACCGCACTGATTTGGTTTCTCTGTACAACGAGGAATAAGTTATTAAGACAAAATTATCTATTTTCATAGCCAAACCTTATCAACTTTCTTTGTGACAGTCATGTATGACTTATCACTTGGTATTCTGTTTGGTCATGATGGTCTCATCGTAATCGTAACAAAAGCTGCATTCGATGGTTTATTCTTCGAAACCTGCCACATGTGCGAACTCCCTTTTTGTTGACTTCAATTTCAGGCAAATTTCCGGCTTCAACAAAAAACTTCGTTGCCTCAGGGATGTCCGTTCATCTGACGCTCCAATTTCAGCCTGATTCACTTGGGCCATTTGAAGACGAATTGGTGATCGAATGTGATCACACCCTGGAACCCCTCGTCATCCCGATTAGATCTCAAAAAGTTCAACCCAAATTATGTTGTAAGAATAAATTGTCAAAATTTTTACGACTACTATGGTTTTCTCATCACGAGCATTTATTCGCCCATACTATATAACTACATTTCACGGGGCATGTGTTACATAGAGCATAAGATGCAGTTAAAAGGTTGAATATATCACCGAGTTTATTCGGTAGTCAATGAGCATTGACTAGCACGCTGCTTCTAAGGTAAAAGCTGGGATAGCTGCGTCAGAATCCCTCATCAGGATCATTTGTTTAAAGTTTGGGTGCTTTTGCAAAACGAAAGCTACCTAACGGTGGTAAACTAGCATACTGTGGATCCGGAAGTTTACTTCCTGTTCTGTCATCCTGAAGAACGCTAATTATTTGCTGACTAACCTCAAGTTGTTCAGCGGTCGATGCTAGCCGTCTTTTGATTTCCCTGGGATTAGAGTTTACGTAGAGGTTGGGATTCTGCATGTAATTTTTATTGTCTGTCAGAATCCGAAAGGATAAGATTTATGCGTTGTAATTCTAAACTCACCTGTTTGAATCCGCATAGGTGCGGGCGACATCGCGGTATACGTTACCCATGCCCGACTGCTGTTGGTCGCTCAGCGGCGAAGGGTCGGTACACTTCTCGGCATATTGTTAATACCTTTAATTTATTTTTCTTATATCGGTTCGTAGCATTTTGCTTGACCTATTGCCAAACACACTAGGTACGCTAGTCAGAACACTTCTCGAACTGCGTTTACCGATTCGTTCAGCTTTCCTTGTTTCCCAAGGCCTTGTCCGTTCCAGAGAAATGTCAGTCAGATGTGCAATCATGGCCTCACAGATCTTGGTCATGCGAGCTACTTCATCAGCGATGCACCCCCGTTTACTCACCGGACCCTACCGGCATCCACCTGATACTCCTTCCGTCTTCGTCGCCCACTCTTATCACATTTTGGCTCATTTATCGACATTAGTTTCTTATCCTTACAATTGTAATTGTGTTGAATACCGCAACTAGTTTCTCCAAGCACGGGTGGCTCTCAACTCATATTTGCCCTTACGCAAAGCTGTTTATGTGACTGTATGACGAGTCCTATCAAATTAATGGGAAGCAAGGTAACTCAGCAACCGTATCAAAATGGATTAAAAAAACCCCACATCCAGATTCTCAGTAAATAAAGTAAACATTGTACGAGAGTCCTAAACTGGCGGCCGTTTACAATGGCAGCTAGGATTGCACCATCAAACTTTGCTCTTGCAATGGCATAATTTTTTTAGACTGCGTATCCTTTCTACTGCTTCGGTTTCTCTACACAGGGTTACGTTTTTTTATGCAAGTACCCTCATTACCCATAACCTTCTAGTTACCAACTTCTCATTTTCATTCCCAGTATCCTCACGGAAGGCGGAATCATGATTTAACTGATGCAGCTAGTCGACAAACCGGTTAGGTTCGATGTGCAAGATCACGATTTCAGATTGTTAACCGGTCTTTTAATATCAGAAACTTACGGATTTGTTTTTCACCTGCATACGCATTATTCCCGTGGCATATTGATGACTTCACGGAGGTTCCTTAGCCGAATGCCAATCACAGCTGTCCATTTTCCCACTAACCAGCCCAAGTTTGATGGTCGTAATTTCCCATCGCCTAAGAAGACTACTGCAAGTCTTTTGATTCGGGTTACTGTTTATTCCATGTTGTCATCTGTTATTATCAAGGAAGGTTTCAGCAGCAATTCTTAATCTGCACGGCCGATATGATTGATGAGTTGTGCAACCACCAATGGCGTCCATAAAATGAAGATGAAAAAACGCACGTGGTACTGTTACTGAAAAGCTGAGCTAGTACCTTGTTATAGAAAATGAGTGACCCGGTTTACAGCCTACAATACAATATCTATAACTGATGAGTACTGAGGATTTTGGTATACTTCAGCTAATTCATCATGGTCACTCTCAGTCAGCAGGCTTAGGCTAGTCTGGAAAAGCACCGGACGCCGGCGTTTCGACCTTCTGGGTCTCGTCTGTGGTGCACCTTCCAGCGGACCCCCTGCCGGGTTCAGCCCCCCTGACTACTGGATGCCAGCAGCTGGTGCCACTTCGCCATTAGTGACAGCCGGGGACCTGCCTGATTGACAGTTGGCTATAATATAGTCGAAGTCATCTTTCACTGCCATGTGAGATACGAACTGTACAGAAGACAGTGACTAGCCGCACGCGCTAGGATTTTCTACACAGCGCCTTGGCACAGCATCAGGACTTGAAAGCTACAGGGACATATTTTTATATTACTGATGAGTAGTAAGGACTTTGGTATAATTCAGATAATTCATCCTTATCACTCAATCAGCAGGTTTAGGCTAATTTAGAAAAGCGCTAGACGCCGGCGTTTCGACCTTCTGGGTATCGTCAGTGGTGCCCCTTCCAGATTCAGCCCCCATGACTTCTGGATGCCAGCAGCTAGTGCCTAAGCCTGCTAATTGAGAGTGACCATGATGAATTAACTGAATTATACCAAAATCCTCACTGCTCATCAGTAATACAAAAATCTGCCCCTGTAGCTTTCAAGTCCTTGTGCTGTGCCAAGCCGCTATGTGGAATGTTCTAGCTCGTGAGGTCAGCCATCGTCCTCCACACAGTTCGTAACTTACATGGCAGTGGAAGATGACCTGGGCTATATTGTAGTCAACTGTCAATCACGCTGGTCCGCGGCTGTCACCCATGGCTAAGGGGCACGAGCTGCTGGCATCCAGAAGTCATGGGGGCTGTACACGGCAGGGGTACGCTGGAAGTCGCACCACTGACGAGAGCCAGAAGGTCGAAACGCCGGCGTCTGGTGCTTTCCCAGACTAGCCTTAGCCTGCTGATTGAGAGTGACCATGATGGATTAGCTGAATATTTATAACCGTCTAACCGTGGCATACTGAGATACAGTTGATTTCTGTTTGCCATGATATTAAAAAGATCAATCCGTTCGGTCACCTCTTTTGATGATTGGCACGATATCCGCTAAGCCCCAATCGGATGGGATGATTTCTGTGGTCCTGATCTCTTGAAGGAGGGTGGTAAATTCAGCAAGAAGAAGCGGGCCTTCATCCCTGAAAAGAGCCGGAGGCAGATCGTCGGGACCAGGAGATCTGTATCGTTTCAGAAAACGAAGCTCATAGACAACCTTGGTCTCAAAAGGCGGAGAGGTGCTTACACACCAGAGAACACCGTGGATACTAGAATGCCAACTCGAGGGCAACGTTGGACGGTTGAACTGCTATTTGAAGTGCTGTGCACAACGTACACACCGGCGTTGGCGATATTGACTTGGTTCACGGTTGGTTTCACCTACCACTTCGCTTACAGTTAGTCTCTAGCCACCGATAAATCGGAAAAGGGGAAAGAGTCTGCGTAAGTTCCTTGAAGATGCAGCATCTTCCATCTTGATGACCTGCTGCGTCCAACAGCCTTCGCGATTTGTTGTCGAGCTGTTCGAGCTCGGCGTTGGTAGCTCTGTGCAGTGAGTTATACTCAATATCAACCGGAATTGTCCGGCAGTCTTCGATCAGTTGAAGAGATCGGTGTGCTCAGCGAAACCGCAGATGACGCTGGCGAACTTTTGTGTGACACTCCGGATGTGTGAAATGTTTCGGAACACTGCTAGTTCAGGTTGACGATTCAGTTACTCATTTGTTCACCGAGCTTGGAATTATGTTTGCATACGTTTCGCCACTATTCGAGGTAACATCGGCAGTTCGCAGAAATGCAGAGTTTAATCTTCCAGATTGAATCGTCGATCCGTGGTCGGCGTGTAGGTACCTTTTGAAAGTGACAGCTTCGATCTGCGCACCGTGATCTCTACCCATTTTCCCCGCGGATGAAGTCGTCGCTCGAGTTGTTCTTATTCAGACGGCGTCTTGAAATTCCCCCAATTTCTTTCCGTCGCAGTCGCTAGTATACTGAGGCGATGTCGTCGAGGACCAGGCTTCTAGGAACTTTTTCTCCTATTGTTTCGCCTCGTGCCAAGACTTCTGTTTTGGCCAAGTCAAAGTTGTGTCCTTCTTCGTCCACGTGCACTAAAACTAAGGAGGTTGCATTTTGTTTTTCTCAGGGTCTTTCTTGCTCTGGTACCATTGTTGCAAATTTTCTTCCTAGTGAGCCAACAGTTTTCGCAATTTCTACAATGTAGTTTATATGCGATATTTTGTTGTCTATGCACTTTCAGTTTCGCTTTTGATTTGACAGGGTTTTCCTCAACGTGGCAGTTGGTTTGTGGGCTACAATAAGATGATGCTATTTGCGTAGTCTGACCGCAATTTTCGAAAAGTTCTTCCTATAACTCAGAACAACCCGTCTCTCCGCCGTTGGTGTAGACTGTCTGCGTTGTTGTGATTCAGGCACGTTCGCATGAAGCCTCGCGGGTTTTCGTTTATTTGGAAACATATATCTAGGTGCTTTTCTTCTTGTTGCTTTGATTCCCTGATATTGCAGTGTTTTTGCACTGCGAAATATTGTCTCGCACGTGGATCACGGATCGACGAGTCATTCAGCAAGACTACACTCTGCATATCTGTGCACAAACGGTGCCACATCGCATGAAAGCGAAACGTATGCAAACAAGTTTCAAAACTCGGTGAACAAATGAGCTGCTGCCTCCGCATGTGTGTTCGAGTAGCATCAGCGTCTCGGATTGTAGGGCTCTTCATATTGGAAGCTAACGAGTTCTGAAACGCACAGATAATATTCGAAGCAGCATGTTTTGCTATGTCAAGCTGTTTCCGACGACGCCGTTCGTTGCTACTAAAACGGAGGGCAGATTTAGCACACACAAGTGCGTGATCGGAGGTGAGGGAAGTACTCCAAGTTGATTTGCAGTCCGTTATACAGCATCGCCAACGATAACTGCTGTCGATATAGTCAATCTGCGTCCATGGCTGTCCAGGCGAAGGGTGTTGCCAGGTTACGCGCTGGCGCCAAGAGCACCGAAAGTATGTTCTCGAAACGAATAAACCGTAATCAGCACAGAGCTATAGATGGCGTTCTCCGT